AAATAGCTATATAGGTAGGTGCCGCCCCAAAGAGGTAAGTTTTTGAGCCATTTGGTCTGAAATTAGGGATAGATTTTAACATTTTGGTCTGAAATAGGGTATGTTTTGCGCACTCTGGTCTTGAATTTGGTTTGGCTTTTAGGACGAAAACGGTTGTTCCATTAACATCGAGCGGAATTTGAAAAGCCTTTTTCAAATGTGTTGCGCAAATCGGACCCATTCCTGGGTAGCTGAAAGTCATGTATGTCACGTGTACTAATTTTAAGTCGAAAAAGGTATCGAGTTTGGGTCAGTCTGAAAATAGGGTATCAAAAGAATCACATATTTTGGTCTGAAAATAGGGAAGGGTTCACAAAGAAGCGGGGACCGCACACCCCCACAAAAATCTGGGGGGGGGAGTAACCCCTCCGGGGGACTGCCCCCCCCCCCCCAAAAACAGGTTTTTTTTTTCCGTTTAAATTTTTTTTGCGTTGGGTCTGTCAAACGAAGAATGCCGCTAATTGATACGAAGAAAAAAACACAAGGAAAAACGGGACATGTTTTGCAAGTCTACAGACGTTTGTATGCTGGTGGCTCGGGGGCAATGCAAATGTTTGTGTCCCAGTCACCAGCATACAAACGTCTGTAACTGCGACTTTGCGGAACACTTTGCCGATTTTACAAGATATATGAATCTAAAATTTGGCCAAATTTTCTAATTTCAAGGTGCTCTTTCCAGCAAGTGTCGATAGATTTTTGCCAAAACTGGCCCAACATATCAGAAGGTAGATATATTGTCAAAAGTTTTTGGAAAAAAAAAGGGTCTATTGCCATTAAATAAAATGGGACCGATCTCGGAGGGGGAAGATTTAAAGCGCATGATTACAAATTAATCGTGATCAGATAGAATAAATGTTACCGAAAATAGACGATACAAAAAAAAAACGACGATTTTGTTCTTTTAACAAAAAAATCGACGATTTGTTCAAAAGGCCGACGAAATCGAAGTCTGCAGGGGTAGAGGCTTTCCTCGTATCTCGGAATCTGAAAAAGCTTTCCATTTCATAATTTTTATGGCAAATAATGAACAAATAAAAAACGACGTAAAGGAAATTAAGAAATTCAAAGGAGAAAAATTAATGTTGCTCCATTTGAGAGAGTATCCTCTCAGCACGCCGTTTAAGTGTTGACACTTGAATAAAAGGTTTCATTCTGTCATTCATTTAATGCCCATCAACAGCACTAATTAAAAATCGCATCTTACTGTCTATTGTCTTTTATTACTATAGCTACATCCAGTAGGCTCCATACATCTTACAACTTTTAAAGCGTCTAATAAATATAACTGAGTTTACATGTGTTCTAAAATACTTTACTTTCTACCTATTCTTTTATAGAAGAAAATATTTCCTGATTCGGATACCATGGTATGCTTGTTCAATTAACGTCACGTGGACGCATCTTATCACAGAGCATGTTCTGCTTGGATATAGATTGTTACAGGCCTCTAAGTTCGTGGACAAAACGCGAATAAGCGGCCGACCGAGGAAAAAACGAGGAGGCCTGGCAAGAGAGAGAAAAATAAAGAGGCCTTCCCCAGTTCCCGCGCATTTTATTTTATTCTTATTAGTTTCCCGTTTGATCGTTCGCTTCATTCGTTCTTGTATACCAATCACAGCTCAGTGTGTATTGATTCTGTGTGAATGGAGTCCAAATTATCTGCTGGTATGGTTTGCTTCATAATCTCCTTATCTTCCTCCCACTCTTTTTTATAGTAAATTCTGAAGAAATAAATAAATCATTGAATAGGTAATTAACACCGAATAAAGAAACAAATATCACATATATGAAGAGCAATTTTATTGGTTAATTGATTATCTGCTAAGTTTGAAAGGAAAATAAAAGTAATTCCGGGGGGGGGGGGGGGGGGGAGAGTACTTCCATATAAAAGTGACGGCGGAAGTTCTCTGAGCGAACACTCTCGTAAGCGGACAGATCTACTTACGGCCGCCTTGACAAAACCCCGTTTGAACTCTAGCTCATACAATCTCTGTATTTACACATTCCCGTAAGCGGCCAGCTCCAGTTGCGGACACTTTTTCCGCTTCCCGAGGGTGTCCGCTTACGGGAGCTTAGACTGTAAATGGGTACCGGCGAATTGTCAGGACAACCTGACAAAATGCTAGAGGGAAAACTGCGATGGACTAGCATCCCATCCAGGGGGGGGGGGGGTGGCAATACTCCTAGTCGCTTCATGCTACAGAAACCGAGATAAGCTCTGGCAGTTGTGGACCACTAGGCTCGTGAAGAGATCTTACCTGATTTGTCGTCATCCTTCTTTTTCAGATACAACTTCAACACGTCATCAAGCTGTTTCCCTCATTTCATGTTCTGACACAAAGTCAGCATTTGTAGGCTGCAGCATGTTGTAAAGTTCCCGAGCTACCTTAGCTGAGCCACCAAAATCCTGCAAAGTTAAATAGAAGCACTTTTCTAAATGTAATGACCACGCAAATTCATTGAATATGTATATTAGTGCGTTTTCAATTGAGTGTCGAAAGTAATCCGGAATAGACCAATTTCGATATATTAATATTCTAACTTGGCTCCGAGGCTTAGGGGAATAAAACAAAAGAAATCGACAAGAAATCACATCGAGGTTGAGGGATGAATAAATCATTTCTTTTGTTTTATTCCCCTAAGCCTCGGAGCCAAGTTAGAATATTAATATATCGAAATTGGTCTATTGTTTTGGTTTTGCTTTACTACTCTCTGTGATTGGTTCGCGTCACTTTCTCAACCAATCAGATGCAAAACCAAAACCAACCGCGACTTGGTCACACGCGTTTTCCCGCGCTTGGCGTCGGTCACGTGTATTTGCTTCGAGTTCTCATTGGTTCGTTGTGTTGTTTGCGTTTGTTGTGATTGGTCATTGTAATTGCTTTGGTTTCGGTTTTGGTTTTACGACACTCAATTGAAAACCGCTCTACTCAACGAATCAAATGCAAAACCAATCGCGACTTGGTCGCACACTATTTCCCGCGCTAAATGGCGCCAGTTGTGTTTATTTGCTTTGCGTTCTCATTGGTTCGATGTTTCTTGTGATTGCAATTGCTTTGGTTTTATAAGTGTTACGACATTCAATATTGAAACCGTTTTCTGGCTAGGGAAGTGTCATTTCGTTCTTATTGGTTGTTGGGAGGGTAAATGGCGCTTTCGTAACATAACTTCAGCAAGAAATCCAAACCAATGAAAACAAAGTTGCTGTATTTTGGCCAATCAAAACCAAGTGTAATTTTGGCTCAAGTGAGTTTTCCCGCGCTAGCCACCACCAGCACCACTTACTTCACGTTTTCCCGCGTTTGCTGTCGGTTTCATTTCAGACATTTTTCCCGCCATTGTCACCGGTTACATGTTCTTGCTTTAAGTTCTGATTGCGCTCTGACAGACAAGTAACAAATTAAAGTAGATTATGATTTTGGGCACCATGTTACGTACCTCATAGCGTGCTATCAAGTTTTCAATAGTTAGTTTTCCACGTCCGTCGTGCAAAGCCTGGTCAAAAACAGACCTGAAAACAAGTAAAGTTTAATTGGTACCTAACAACATCTGACTCAAAGTTAGACAGCCATTTGTTAGGCACCATTTACTCTTATTCTTTCCCTCATTCTTCTCCCAGCCTGTAAAAGTACCTGGATGTTTGTTTGTTTGTTTTTTGTTTGTTTTTTTGCGCTAATGAAGAGCTAACGACGTCAGCTTTCCAAATTCGCTACGGCTGTTAATTTACGTACTTTTTACGTGACTTTTTTTCACCCGTTTTTAGCGTGAAACAGAAGGCAAAAACCCGCTTGCTATCGCAGGCTATCTGTTCCCTGCGAGCAGGCTCACTAGTGGGACCCATACGCGAGCGGCAGCGAAAGCCGCGAGAAATTTAAAAGTAAGAACCAAGTTGTACAGCATGCATGTAAAATTTAAGCGAATGGCAATCAGAAGTCTTACTATTTTTGATTCAGCTCTATGTTTTGAAAATTGCTGAAAGTTTTCCTACATACATGTATTAGATAAAATAAGGAAGGAAAACAAGACCATGAACAGGAAAGGCGTACACACAGTTGTCAGGAGACTAACGAACTCCAGTCGATCTCTAAAGCCTGGTTATCATCCCTATCCCAGCTTCGTGAGGACCTACGAGTCACGTACTACTAGTTAATATTTCGAGCTCTTACTTGACATCATCAAGATCAAACAGAGCAAACTCGTATTCCTCAGTGTTAGCAGGGTCGGCATCGACTTCATTGGCTATCTGTTTCACTTGTTCAACTGTCAAAGCTTCAATGTCTTCTTTGGAGGCATAACCTTTGTTGTCGACATCCATTAATTTCAGAACCTTCAGAAATACATGTAAGGCAAAACACAAATTTACTCAGTTCTATATTGATATCTGGGAGGCGTGGTGGGCTAAAGCATGTCACATTCTGGATTGAATGCTCAGGGTTCCAGCCCTGGCTGGGGTCATTGTGTTGTGTTCTTGGGCAAGATACTTTACTCTCACAGTGTATATCTGCCCAGGGGTGTAAATGGGTTAACCAGCAAAATGTTAAGGGCAACTGGACAAATTTCTGGGGGTAACCTGCAATGGACTAGAATCCCATCCAGGGGGAGTAGCAATGCCACTAGCTACATGTAGTCGCTTCATGCTACGGAAACCGGGATAAGCTCTGGCAGTGTGAGCCATTTTGTCCCAAGCACAATCATAACTTACTTTTTCAGCAATGTTTCTTCTTACATCCTCGTATTCTTCCATAACTTCACCCTACAATGACAATAACAACAACAACAACAAAATTAACACAGTCACTCAAAATGTCCCTCGCTGAGCTATGAAAATGTAACCTTTTAATTAATTTTTTTTTCAATGCATTCAATCTTTGTTTGCTTAACTTACATGTACTTTGAAAGAGAATGAGATCTTTGCAGCTGTATTTCAACTTTAAGCAGTTGAAAAGGCCTGAAAAAAAGTCAGGCTCCAACGGGATGTGAACCCATGACCTTTGCGATTCCGGTGCAAACATTCTACTTCTGAGCTATGAAGCCACTGGGAGCAATTACTTACTTCAGTCAGTATTTGGAAGATATCCTCAGCATCCAGCCGTTTATTTTCGCTCTCTTCTACCAGAGAGAGGTACTGCTCTCTGAAAGAGAAATGTTACTCTAACCAAGTTGAAAATGCGAAGAGCTACATGTAGGACGGCAGAAAGAGGGGTGTCGAATGGTAAAATCGAGACTTGCTGAGACGCCGAGACCCTGGTTTAAAAATCCGAGCTCGAGACGCAGTGATCCGAAACTCCGAGAAAATAGAGTATAAAAGAAGCTGCATTTGCGAGATTCACAATTCGAGACTCTGAGACTGTCCTATTTCTGGCGCACCCGAGATTCCGAGATGCTTTTTTAAGTGCCGAGATTCCGAGACTCAGCTTAAATTTGCCGAGATTCATTATTTTTGATAGACCATTCGCCACCCCTAGAAAGTATGGTAAGGAAATTAATATAAATTTATAGTAAATACATCCAGTACGTACTACGTACTTCATTTCAAAAGGATCTATATTGCCCATGGTTTGTGGCCCATGCCCCGGATAGGTCCAAACCATGTTCACATCTGACAGGGGCGTGTACTCCAACTTGGCATCCTCACATCCTGTCGGGTCAAACTCTGTCAGCCGCGAGAACAGAACTGACACCGCCATGTTCTTTGAGCCATACGATCGCACCTGATGCCAGTAACCTGAAAGCAATGAAAACAATAACACGCATATGCGTATTAGTCAAATCTCTGGTTACATGAAGCTAGTCTTTTCTAGCTGTCAAATTTTTCTGAGTGATTGGGGTGTCAGGGTTTTGAGAGATTTCCAAAGTCGACCTGCAGAATATTTCCAAGATTTCAGAAGACTTCTCAAGACGATCAAAATATTTCACATTTTCTAGTCTGTACCTATATGATCATGCATTTCGGTTCATTTGAGGTTTATTAACCGAGATTGAAGTTTGGGACCCTCCTGTCCAAGGTTCACACATAACACAAGAAATTTCAATGGTAGGTTGTACGCTTTCTAATATTTTTAGACAACTAAAGAGCATGCACTTACTGTAAGGTAAAAAGATGCAATCCCCTGGCGTCATATTTGCATACTGCCATCTCACTTGTTTGAATCTGGGATACTTGATAAGATTAACACTTTGAACATCCAGCGTAGCAAATCCTCCATAACCCTTATCTCCATCTGCTACTGGTATCTATCATTCACAAAATGGGAAAACAAATCAAAATATTCTGAGTTCTGATTCCCCCCCTATAATTCAACCCTTGCTGGCCCTTCTCCACCATGTCCTATTGTTACCTTTGGAAACCATTGGACCAATTGAAGGTGATCGGTGGAAAAAAGGCGCATGGGTTTAGTTGATTTTTACTTTTGCCCAGAATCACTTCATTTTTGTCCTATGGACTTGTTTTCACATGCCTAGCAATATGCTGTGTATTTGTTTTTTAGTCAAAACCTATCATTCCGAAGGATTTGGTCTCTTACCTCTACCTAACAACTGAAATGAAGCATAATAATTCCTTTTTTTAACAAAAGAAATCAAGGGTACCCCCAATTTTGACTAGCATCCCCTATACATGTAGGTCAATGGCGTTCTTAGCTTACGGCAAGTTAGCATAATTTAGCAGCTGATTTTTCTTTCAATTGATTTCACTGTCAGTGATTTGTTTGCAATAATTATTTAATATGTGTTTTTAAGAGTTACATGTAGGTTTCAACAGAGATCTCCTGGTTTGGCAGCTCTGTAAATGACTGCAAAGTTTCTGGAGTGGGTCATATTATTATTGCTCACAAGTATCTTATGGATGAAGGGGTAATTAACACCATCATTTAACAAATAACACCTTTGTTGGGCAGGTGAATATAGTTGAAGTTCCCGTAAGCAGACACCTTCGGCAAGCAGAAAAAATGTCCGCAACTGCCGGAGCTGGCCGCTTACGGGAATGTGTAAATACAGAGTTTGTATGAGCTAGAGTAGAACTACAGTAAGTAAGTAAGTAAATAAGTAGGTTCCATAAAAATATATTAAATATTACATTTAATAAATTTTTAATTTTCAATTAAGTATTAATTGAGTGTGTTTCCATGGCAAGGGTTCTGGCTGTCAAGAATCAGAATTAATCTCCATGGCAAACAAGGAAGCTGTTGCAAAGCGATAATTGCAAATTACCATCTAATTTGAAATGCACTCATTTCAACACAAAAGATGAAAGGTTTTAACAAGACTAAACAAGTAGGCTTGATTTATTATAGTAAAACTTCAATTCATGTTTACCTTTCGTTACCAAAAACTTACCGTTTTGAACCGTGTTTTAATAGAGAAAACAGAGATTAAAAATTTATAAGTAAGCTTACGTTTTTCTCGTTTTCTGGATGAATTAAGATCCAATCTTTGGTTCCATTTAATAAACAGTTAATGGCGTTATCAGCATCTTTATGAAGCATACTGCGAGTTCCACCCGAACTTAGCCAAATATTCGCTTCTAGAATCCTCTCACTGAAACTCCCACACATCAGAAAAGGCAAAACCCTTACTTCTGTTGATAGGGGGTCGGGAAGTTGAGAGACGGTGTAAGAATCTTTTTGTTGATAAGTGTCGAGGAAACTTTGAATCGTGTCTCTACCAAGACCTCTTTCTCCAACTGGAACATGATCTTTTTCTTGTTTAGCTTCCAGCTTAACTTCTAGCTCACCGTAATTTTCTGTTAAATATTGATCGGTCCATAAGTGAAAGGCAGGAAATTTCTTAGCGGCTCCGCGAAATACAACTGGTTTTCGAACACTTGCATATTTATTCCAAAACTCTTGTGGCGAGGGAAATTCATGTAGGATGTCCACATGGCCGTCGGATTCTCTGTGCCTGCCTAGTTCTTCACCGTGACCTCGAGGAAGTTCTTGATGACTCGCAGAAGTGAGAACTAGTCCCAAGATTGACAAAACAAACAGGTAATTCTTCATAACATTCACCGCATGCACAGCCATAACAAATCAGTTTTAAAATCTCTTGAAGAATCTTCGCGTACGAGAGAACCTGGTTTGGAGCATAGAAATGAGGCAGACATGGAGAAAATCTGGACTTGGATAAACTGGACTGGACTTACCATTTCACTCGGCTTCTATTCCTGTAAAACGAAACTTTGTGTAATTTGAATTAAAATCATTTTCCTATCAAATATTTGGATCCTAGATAAGGGCGATAAGTTTGAAGCTTTTTCATCGATTGTTTTCGAAGTTTAAAAAATTGCTTTGAGCACGAAATCCTATTTTGGTTAGAGGGACTTTCGCATAACTTAGAACTATAGAACTTGAAAATTTATAATAAAGGATAGGCCATTTCCGAGTTGCCTTTTGCCTCTGTTTCAAAACGAGTAATTGTGCTCAACTTTTCATATGTAAACGAGTTTTACCTGTGCTGCATGTTCATTGTCATGCAAATCAAACTAATTTCCATGTGATGAAAGGCTGTGCACCAGGACTTGTTTTGAAACAAAGGCAAAAGATAATTGTCATGTCATAGTGCAGCGACACTCTATCAAACTAGAAACGAATCCTATTCATGTGTATCGGATGATAATAGAGATTGCATATCAGATTAGACAATGATCTTTCAAACTGTTAATTAAATTGATTTTGAAACTTTCCGCTATTTGTATTTTTTCGATACAGCGTCCACTAAAGATAGGTTCAATAAGAAATTTCAATCCTGGCTACAGATTTTAAAGAATTTAAAACATTTTCAACGACTTTGAACGTAGATAATCGCTTCAAAAATGGAACAGATTGACCTCGATGACAGATCGAATGATATGAGTGCTGCTTTGACGGGGTTAGGGTGCAAAGACTCTGCAAATAAACAAATAAAAAAACATGCAGTTTTAAGCGCGCGTTCGCAAATTCTTCTAGTGATGCTGTAAATCTAAAACATTAGATGTACATGCAGAAAAATTAATTGAAAACGCGCAAAATCCGTCAGCGTAACGCCGAACATGCTACCATACTATGGGAAGCCCTCAAATTTGGATGGCTATCCAGCTTCACCGAAAACTTTTCGCAGGGGAGCTACAACTTTCATTCTTCGTGGGGCAGGACGAAATGAAGAGCAACTGACCTCGAAATTCTCGGCAGGACGCAGCCATATCAGCGGTAAAACACTGCCACACAGGGGAAAAAAGATACGAATTAATGTCAGTGGAAAAATGTATAATCTCACTTTACAGCAACTGCAGAATTTCCCGAAAAGTTTATTGGCCGACCCCGTGAAGCGAGAAGTCTACCATGATGCAGAGAACGACGAAATATTCTTTGACAGGAATCGAACAACGTTTGAAAGTGTTTATTACTTCTACGCAACGTGTGGAATGCTGGTGTTTCCTACAAAAACCTTTTCTCAGCAGCTCGTAGCAGATGAACTGTATTTCTTTGGTCTTTACGACTATTTAAGCCCGGAAGAGAAAGATCATAGTTTGCCTCTACCGAGCGCGCTTCTCACAAAGAAACCGCGGGTCAATCCGAGGAGAATTTGTCAAAAAAAGGTTTGGGAAACATGCGAGTTTCCCGAATCAAGCAACGCTGCACGGATCGTCAATTTGTTTTCGCTGCTTGTAATAGTTTTTGCTGTCGTTATTTTGTGTATTGATACTCTACCAAGCGTGCGAAATGCGATTTCTGGACAAGACAACTTCGACCGCACTCGCGTAAACCACAGCGTGGCTAGAAACTCTACTCGACCGTCCTACAACACCACCTCGCCTCTGAAATCTTTTCTCTCTAGAGCTGAAGAATGTTGCATCGCTTGGTTCACGATTGAGCTCATAGCACGTTTTGTCGTTTCGCCAAAAAAGCGCAAATTCCTGCAAAGATTCTTAAACATTGTGGACGTCGTGGCAATTCTCCCGTTCTATATTTCCTTGATAGCGTCTTCTAGTCACAATACACCGCCTGTATACGTCATCAAAATCTTCCACCTTTCAAAGATTTTCCAAGTGTTAAAACTTT